CCCACACCCACACCTACACCCACACCCCACCACACACACCCACACACCCACACCTACACCCACACCCCACCACACCCACACCCACACCCCACCACACCCACACCCACACCCATCGATTGGATCTCTACATTGCTTCTATTATTGCAGTGTGTAAGTTAGAAAATCTTTTATGGAAATGAATTCGAAAAATTGTTCGTTAATGTTTCTAGTACCGGAAAATACGTCAACAATTCTACGACAATTCATTGTCGCACTATTCATTACTCATGGTGAAACAAAATTGAATTCAATTGGTAATTTGTTAGCCAATAGCAATACCAATCCTCCATTTCCACATGGTTCATTTCGTGGAGATTGGTGTCGTACTTTGGTTCGTCGTTCGCGACCAATATCATCTTCAACTCGAACAACAACAACAACAACAACAACAAAACATTGAACAATCGTTTAGTAACTGATTAGTTAGACTGTTCATTTTATTATTCAAGCTTTTTCAGTTTGCATGTGATCATTTGAAAACAATTTTTTCTTCTTCATCTTATTGCCTTTGCATGTTTCAGATATATCAATAATGGCAACGGTTCCATTCTATTGTTTTCTATTGGCTAGCTTTGCTGTCAGATATTCAATTGCCATTCCATCAATTGGTTCAGCAGGTAAATCACGTTGGTTTTGTTTGTCAACATTTCTTCCTTATTTTTACTCTCATCTGATAATAGGCAACAATAGTGATTGGTCATCAACAATTAGTCAACATCGTAAACAATCATTTATGGAAAATGAAATTAATGTGAACAAAAATAAATCGATCGATCTTCTGGACAAAGAAACAATTACTGATCGGCAACAACAACAACGTGCAAAACGAGACAATACTGGTGGTGTCGATGTTAAAGCAATCCAAGCAACAATCAATAATCATCGAACAATGATTGAAGATCATCGAATCATGATCGATCAAATTATGAACAATTCAATTAATATCAGTAACATTCAACAAGCTGTATCAGATCATTTTTCGAACACAACTCCGATATGAAAGAGTTGGCGTGATTTGGCTACTATTTTCACGCTCACATTTGCAATAATTTACATTTGCTATTCTTGTGCACGTCTAATGAAAATACGACCATGGACTTATCTCGTATCGTGTATACTTCGACGTTATGGTCCACATGATTAAGAAAACGGAGCAGTTCACAATCAAGTTCCGTTGCCTCGAGTATCGATCACGAAAAATAAAACTAATAAAAGACATCCAAAAAAAGCAAAGCAGCATCGATCCATGAATCCAAAATCAGCTATTGTCATAGTCGAAGACGATTATATACAGTGTGAACATGGTGGATTCTAATCGGAATGACAAAGAACATCATGAAAATAAGCCATTCGAACCATAAGAACTATTCTATTCTTTCATTTGCATGCTCTTCAATTTCTTTTCCTTTTTCTTGTTGTCTGTAGGGTTCACATTGCGTGAGTTAGATAATATGTGAACAGTGCATGTCGTCGAGTACTAGTCTTTCAGTTATGTTTCTTTTTGGTTATATTGTAGATGAACAACAATAATCAATCATGATTAACAAGCAAACAGAATAGAAATATAAAGAAAAATATCCGTCATCAACTAACCAACGACATTTGGAGTTGTTTATTACCATTCAAATCGTCTCGCCCTTATACAATGCATTTTATCAATCGAATGACATCATCATTAACATTACAAATGCTTATTGATTCGGCTCGCGAAACAAAAGTTTTCGTTATTCATTAGAAGCATGTTTAATCTTATCTTTTTTTCAGAAAATGCCAGACAAGTGTCACTATTTTGCATGTATTCTCTTTCTTTTCAGATATATGCCCTGATGAGTAGCTCCTTTTAAAAGAGCACGAAACGCGTCGGCAAATACGTTTTTTACTACATATTACTAATATACAATTAATAGTCATCGAATTATTCTTCGTCATCAAAGTCCATTACTGAAAAGTAAAAGTTGAGAACTACGGATTGAATTTGTTCTTCGTAGCAGATTGGATCCGTCTCAGTGAAACCATCTTACCTTATTTTTTAGCTATTTTCTACATTTCATGGTATCTGCTACCAGATGTAGCATGATGTCATATTTCGAAAATATTGAGAGAAGACCGTAAGATGGTTTCAAATGCAGAAACAAACATCGCCAATCGACTCAGCGTGATGAATTGCCCTATCCTGGATGGTTTTCTGGTTGACCTAATGACATTTGGCTGAAATCCAAGGTCTCAGAAAAACCCTTATAACTCTTGAACGGAACAAGCTGGGAAGCTCGGCCTTGCGTAGATCGATAGAGCAGGACTTACTCTATCAAGGGCGAAATGAAACAATCCTTCATAGTTGACAAAGGTGCCCCGGAAATAATGCTCAACATGTCCATCAAAAATGCACTTCTGCGTCCCATTAGGAACCAGCGATGTTTTAACATAGATTGATGCACCTGAGCTTTCTCTTTCTAATGGCGAAAACCGCAGCTCTCTATCTTGTTCCTATCAAAAGTTATTCAAAAAATGGCCAGGGCTCTTTCTTGTTGAAATGGACATTAGTTAGTTTTTGACCGTATTCAAACGAACAACATTGAATCGAAAGCTTGACTCTAAGAAACCAAACAAAGTGATCTACAAAGTTTTTTTTATAGAAGTTGGACTCCCCTTGACTACTTTTCTCGTGTTGCAGACTATTTATACCAACATTCCGTCTACTTTATCTGGCGTTCATGATGAAAATAAGCACAGACTGCTTGAAGGCTATTCTCCATGCGATCCCGAGACAGCCTCGATGAATGTAGCTTCTGCGAACTAGGTTGACGAGCTCAACTGTAGAACGACTAAGCTACTCAGCGCATTTCACCGTATCTTGACCCCATTGAATAAAATAAATAGATGATATCTAAGAATCCTTACATGAGAAGCACGACCGATTTCAATAGAGGCGTCCTCAGTTTAGGCATCGAGTCTCTGTGAGACCTATGTCATCTTGTAGAGCATGTCGCTTTATGAAAGCAACCAAGTTTTCACTGCTATTGAATATTTCTGGAATATGATATGGGAAGTTTCTAAACGAATTATCAACTAAATAACCCTTTAGAAGCTCAGAGTAGGTTCTCAAACTAGTTCGAATTTTTTTCTCTTAACGCTATCAGCTTTCCATACTAATACATCAAACAATGTGATATACTCAGAAACGTTCATTTGTTCATCATTGTGTATAATATTTCTGCATTACATTGATAATGTTTTATGAGGACTATTCTCCGAAATTCATCAGTTATTCAATCGATTGAAGATCCCAAAATTCTGCCGCTGTCCTTAGATAGCTCTCGGTGAGTAGCTATAAACGAAGAAAGTTTTAGCGAATTTCATGGAGCTGATTGATAAAAGGCTGCATTAAAAAGAAACCATGAAAAAGACTAGGGCATATTGCTTTCAAATAGTTTTTCCACCAACTATCCCAACTGAATTCGCTAAAACTTTCTTCGTTCATGACTATTTACATAAGGCCATCTCATGACAGCAGCAGGGTTTTCGGATAATCAACTCAGTAGATTCAGTGCTCTTCCTGATGTAATGATTCCTATGAACTGGCAATTTTACTTCTAGTTTTTGAACCGCAAAATACGCTACAAATTTCTATTAAAGATGATCCGTACCACTTGAAAAAAACGAACAAAGGCAATCGAAATACGCGAATATATCAGAACACCATGATTTTTCAAGCATTTTGACCATATGAAAAAAGATATCAACGAAATCAGGGGCTGACAGAGAGTGGATTTCGTAGAGCGCAAAAATGCTATCGAGCCTCATATTCAGAAATGGTCCATCACGTTGTCCTCTTGATGAAAATATCATCAAAGAATATATACTCATAGAAAAAACAGTGTTTTCCAGCAGCCTCGAAAGCAAGTCAGAAGTCACTATGCAACTGAAAAAATATTTCCATGTGAGTCGCCGTGCAATTCTACATAGGACCATGTATTTTCTTTGGTGAAAAACGATTTTTTGGTCGGGAGTCGATTTGTGGTCTTATGCGTCCCCGTTCTTTCTAGTGAGGTTTTGGACACTTGCCCCCGGTTATGGAGGCAAAATTTTTACATGAAAAGACGCATCTTTTCTCGCTCTACAACATATCAAAAATTCACTTTAGGCTCTCTCGAAAAAGTGTGCAAACGATAGCATACAACTACCAAAACTCGTGTTGAAATTTCACAAAACTCACGACTTTACTAGTGTTAGAGTAGTTCTGGGATACGATGAGGTGTGAAAAAGGTTCCGTTTTGTAGAGCTGATTTCGCTCTATCGATTGGTGTATGATAGTGGCACCTTCCATCAACTTTTTATGGTAAAGAAATTCAAAGAAAAAAAGTAAATAAGTTTTCGGTTTTTTATGCGAAAACCGACCGGACAAAACTCGAGGTGTCAACACCTGGCAAAGACGCGGTCGGGAGAGCTGAAAACTTGTAGTCCAGGGTAATTTTTTGTGCTCTTTCTAATGGCATACTCAGTTTTCAAAGTCAAAAATTTTCGGCAACTTCGTTGGGTGGTGGTTTCATGGACGCTCTCTTAACAATGAACTTTTGTTCGCTTTGTTCTGATTAAGATTATTAGCTTTATTCTTATTTCTCTCGTTATTATCAAATATCGATAATGATCATCGACAACGTGGTGGAAAAGCTGAAATTCCTATTGGATTTGACCAAGAGTTGGAATATAAACTTACGAAAGGACCACCACATGGATTATTGAAAGGAAGATGGTAATGACGACGATGAGAAAATCGATATCTGTAAGGAGATCTTTTCTGGACGATGTATTCACTCTTACTGTCATCTGTCTCTTTCACCTGGTGGTCTTGAATGATGGTTTCTCACGATTGTTTCTACAATAGCTCATGTTTCATATCATCATTTTTGATTCAATGAGTAACTGTTGTATTGATTCGTTGGAAGATCAAATTAAATAGAAATAGAATTATATACGAAAATTTTAGGGTTTTCATTTTCGTGTAGGTTAGTAATAATGAATTACACATCCATTTTGATACTTTGAATCATTTCAGTTTATACTGCACAAATCGAGTATTTTCGATATTTCACTGAGATAAAGAAAAGGTCATCGGAAATTCAATGGTGATAGTAGTGTATTTTGAGAGCGAAGATTTAATCGAGAGGAAGATGCTCTCACACGATCACCTCTTATTATCAGAAAAAAAGGAGGAAAAATCCATTCAATAAATCAGTTAAGGATAATTTCTGTCTAATCAACATAGATTAAGAATTGCGCCATTGAAAAAGTACTGCAATATCATCACAAAGTGAACTATAAACAGAACCAACATATGTTCGTGGTGTGATACTGATGTGCTCATTTATTTCATATTTTGAATTATTCGGATATAAAGTCATAATGGGTCCGGTAAATTTACACGTATCTTTATTGAAAATCCATTGATCGAGTTGGTCTGACTTCAATGGTAACTTCATGTAATCAAGACTTGGCATTCCATGAAACTGAAAACAAATAACTGCTTGACTGGTATGACACTGTTGCGATTCATCAGAATTGACATGTTCGAGTTGTTTCGATACGAAATTCATCTCTTCTAATCCTAAAATCGACAAACGATCTTGAACTTGTTTAATTATGAAATCTTGATAAGCAGCTACATAAATAAAGGAGAGATTTTTGTGCCATTTAACTTGTTGTCCACGACTCATATCATAAGTAAAAGCAACAGATGTTTCTATTAGCTGTTGAATATCTTCCGATGGCTTACATTTTGTTATGCGTTCAAGAAAGTCATGAAGTTTGACATATACCAGAACATAATTTTTATTACACTCAAATGCTAAAATTACAGCTGATTGACATGACTGCTTTTCTACTTTGTCGGTAAGAGAAAATTCAATGTGAAGATTTGGATCTTCGTATTTTAGTTGTCGAACAAATTCAAACGAATACAACAACGATCGATAAGAATCAATATGAATGTGAAGGTTCTTCACTGAACCTAAAAGCTCGCGAAGACAATCTTTAACGAAATTTTTTGGGTATTTTTCTTCACTGATATCATCGTTTTTCCAAAACCCTCCTACATGTTGCTCAATAATCTGTCGAACATTCGAAGAAGTAAGAAATTCAATACCATTTTCAGCAAGAAAAGAGTTTAAATTTAAACATTCAACAGATGATAAAACGTTTTCTTTGATGCCAAATGAGTCTGCCAATGGATCGACAAAACTGCTCTTCGTGGTGTTTCGTGAAAGTTGTCCGTTCAAATGTTTTGAAATCATGTTATTATTGAGCCAACCAGTAAATGGTATTCTTTCGGGTGGTATAATTGTTGTTTCGTCAGGCAATATTGATTTTAACTTATTTAAGTGAGTATGAACTTTATTCCATTTAGTGTTTCCATTATTGATTGTAGTAGTTGTTCCATTCCATCTATCGATATATCTTGAGCGACTTCGTTCTCCGTAAGCATTATCCATATCGACTTTTGTATGAATAGGATCAAACAAACCTTCTGGTTTCAGAGACTTGACGTATGGGGTAAACTCACCAGTATAATAAGCCATAAATACAGAACATGGAATAATTTCACATTTTTCTGTTGTATCAATAAAATTGATTTCTTTCAATTCAAGAATTTCTGAATATGGATCATAAATATTCAAATGATCGATTTTCGAAAAAAACTTCAGTTCAAATATTTCAATACCGTTCCAAACTGATGTTGATCCCTTCAACTCTTGTCGTATATGTTCAATCAGTTTATCCTGGTTGAAATCACCTGTACGAGGAAAAACAGGTATAAAACACCATTTTGTTTCGTCTTCGTTGATGTTACAGACCAATAAATCTAGCTTTTCGTATAGAATATCAACTGAATAAATCATAGATTTAGGAAACGCATATTGTATCAAATGTAAATGTTCTGTGGTAAATCCACCTCCATAATCAATAATAACTGGCGTTGAATTCAATGTCCATCTATCAATATGATCGAGTAGATCATCAATAATGCACTCTTTGGGTGACCTTTCATCTACTGAATAAAATAATTTTCGGTATTGGAGTATCGCATCATCTAAACTATAATCCATCATACAAACAATTTTTGGAAAGGATTTGCAAATCGCTGACATCGCTTGGTTCGGAATTGGACATGGAAGAGCTTTTCCTAGTTTTTCGTTTAGATCTCGACTAATTGGAACGCAATCGCTTTCAAAAACGACTGTTGATGTTGAAAACGTGTTAGATGGATATAAAATTGGAATTGAGTATTGCACCATAGAAAATCTGGAAGTGAATAGAATTATTATATGATTCTAAAAAACCTATGTAGAAACTCAAATTAGACCTGTTGTTTTCATGATATTTCTGTGCGTGACATTTGCGCCCTCGGCACTACCCCACAACCCACTAGAACTCGTTGAATCTAGTGTAGCGGAAAATTTTGACTCAAATTGGATAATACTTCCTTATTGATGCAGTATTTCATTTATTTTATTTGTGATCGCAATGACAAACTGGAGGAAAAGCGTTATCGCTATTCTTTATGTAACTGATATTCACTACATTGTACTACAGTCCAGTTGTGTCCCATATAATACAGAACATCGTCTTTTATAGATGATACAACACTGTAGAAAAAATGAGCAGAGTAATAAATCACCAAAACGATTTATTAGCATTATAAACCATTTCATGTACGCTTTTTGAGTTTATGAGCTAAAAGTGTATTTTATACGTTGTATTCTTCATAAACCAAAGGGTATATGAGCACTAAAATATCCTTAAAGCGTCTTTAAAAATCATAAACTCTTTCCAAAAGGATTTCTTGTTCTACGGATTTTGCAAATGGTAGATAAAGAAACCTTTTATGAAAAGAGTTTATGATTTTTAAGAGAGCGTCCATGAAACCACCACCCAACGAAGTTGCCGAAAATTTTTGACTTTGAAAACTGAATATGCCGTTAGAAAGAGCACAAAAAGTTACCCCGGATTGTAGATTTTCAGCTCTCCCGGACATGTCTTTGCTGGATTTTGAGGCCTCATGTTTTTCGTCCGGACGTTTGTCGCATATAGGGATGCAACAGTGACGATCAATAATCGGTTAACCGTTTACGATTAATCGGTCCAAAACGATAATCGGTAGGACCGATCAAGCGATTAAACGGTAATCAATTGGACCGATCAAACGATTAAGAGTACATTGGCCTAAGTGCGGATATTTGCAAAGGTATTATGGAATTATCTATGTGTCCTCAACAGCTATCCTATTGGGGTACCCATAGGTCGTTAATCGTTAGTAAATGAAGATCTACAGATGGTCTCCAAGTTTTCTTATCGAGCACTCTACAATCTGGAAACGCTATGGGTGAGCTGTAATGCATAACTCACATAGAGCTGTCGAGTTGTAGTGTCGTTAACAACGCAAAAACTGTGTTTGGAGTAGTTGTGATCGGTGGTGCAACGATAACAATGAGATATCTTTTTACTGTCTGTAATTTACTCTTGCCAAAGAATAGCATGTGGTACCAATAAACCATTTTAAGGATTTCCGACTATGCTGAGTAGCTAATCAGGTGAGGACTAATATGAAATAGCACTCGTTCTACTGATCAACTACTATGAAACTATACTCATGAGGGAGGTAGGCATAGGCGGTGGACCGATTTCAGTTTAGGGTAGGCTCAAGTTTTCAGTATAAGCGACCTCAAAAGCAAACTGAAAGACGGTTTTTATTTCTTTATAATGATAACCACTATAGATATTCGTAGTACATGTGAAGTGTATAGAAGTACAATAAGTTTAGAATACTTACTGCGTCGAACGAAATCAAGAACTAACAATTCGGTAAAAACATGTTGCAAGAAAAATATAAAATGGTTGACGTGGACGAGCAAAACTATTTATAACCGAAAAAGATTTTTCTGTCGTGAGTTTTTCAAACAAAATCGGAGTAGACATTGTTAATACGGATCAAATCTAATTTTCTTTATGAACATGAGGAATAATAACATAATTTAAATCTCGTTGATTCATTGTATATAGATGTATTTTCGTTTGATTTATTAGGCTTAGAAAGCGTTCAGTCGTAGCGATTGCGGGAGGAGTAGTTAGATATAACGATAATGATTTATCACATTGGCAAAATATATTTTTGTCGACTCGTTACCAAGTCAAAATCCTACTCAGACTGAAAGGAATACAGTGGTCCGAACGATGAAAAACGATATAGTATGCTATCGTCTTATAATCCACTCTGTAGCAGGAATCTCTTCCTATTATAGTACTCCTCTAGATAAGTTGATCTGTTAGAATTACTAGTAGCTTTCGTTTTGATGACTATTCAACGGTTCTTGATAATTTTAATTAGTGTTTTAAGAAAAAGTTTTTAAATTATAACATCTTTTGATGAGAATGTGTTAAAACTCTTCTTTACCACTATTTAAAATAATGTCCATTATTTTACATCGTTTGGCTACATGGGTGGATGAAGGCTCCCTCCGAAATCTCTGAATTCTTGACAATTTAAAAGCTCTCAGGACTTCTATAATATAAATGAGGTTTCAGTTTCTTATCAAAAACGATTGTAAAAATTACATTTTACAACCATAATATTCAAATCGTATTTTATGAGTTCTTAACAGCAAAAACGATAATCGAAGGACCGACTATTTGCGTATCCGACTTGTTTATAACCGTTTACGAACCATAAAATTTGGTTATAATCCAATGCTTATAAAATACACGATACACTATACTCAAAAACGCCGTTTACAGTCGTACTAATTTGTCTAGCGCAGTAAAAGACTAGTTTTTATATTTTTCTGCAAGTAGACATCCATCCCTTTACAACAGATGAGAAATAATCGGGCAAAATAATTAATTTACAGCTTAATCGTCCAATTTTCACATTGAATCGAGCCTACCCAAGCGTTTGATCTAGCATACTTAGAGCCTACCCAGGCCTACCCAGTTCTAAGTTAGGATAGGCTCGTGCCTACCCAAGCCTAATGGTTCCGCCGCCTATGGAGGTAGCCGAAGTGTTCAAGAGCTTCTGAGTTGATATTTTGCCCATAAGTAAGACTTGATAAGTCTAGAAGAAGCTTTAAAAGATAAGGGCCTATAGGCCTTTCTTTCTGAGTTACGGACATTTTACTAGATTTTCTACATATGACAAAGGATTCATCGAAAAGTCAAATTACAGAGTTTCGACGTGGAATTTTGCCTATATGTAGGTCTTATGATCCTTGTCGTAGTCTGAAAGTGGCAGCCTAAATCAATGCTTTGTTCAGAAACCGATAAGTAGTCAAGAAAAGTCGAACCCCTTCACACCCCTAGGACGAAGACGTCTAATACGATCCTATAGAATCTCACAAATTCCGACAAGATCCTGTCGGAAGTGACCGGTTTTCTTGGCACAGAAGTCCGACAAGAACTTGTTGGATGTCGGAATGCAGGAGTTCCGATAGAAATCACGGTTATTCCACCACTTTCCGACTTCCAACAATTTCTTGTTGGAATCCTGTACCAAGGAAATCGGCAACTTCCAACAAATTCCTCCAGAATCTGGCAGAATCCGATGGTTTCCGACAGTCGGATGTACTGACCTGGGATGTCTGCAGCATGAGAGTTTTTTTCAGTACATATTATTTTCTAAACAAAACTTTTGTTTGGACTGGAACTTTCAGACTACGACAAGGATCATAAGACCTACATATAGGCAAAATTCCACGTCGAAACTCTGTAATTTGACTTTTCGATGAATCCTTTGTCATAGGTGGAAAATCTAGTAAAATGTCCGTAACTCAGAAAGAAAGGCATATAGGCCCTTATCTTTTAAAGCTTCTTCTAGACTTATCAAGTCTTACTTATGGGCAAAAGGGTGTGGGTGTGGGTGTGGGTGTGGGTGTGGGTGTGGGTGTGGGTGTGGGTGTGTGGGTGTGGGTGTGGGTGTGATGTGTGGGTGTGGGTGTG